CAACCTCCGCCTCCTGGGTTCAGGCAATTCTCCTGCCTCAACCTCCTGAGTAGCTGGGATTACAGGCACGCGCCACCATGCCCAGCTAATGTTTTGTATTTTTAGTAGAGACGGGGTTTCATCATGTTGACCAGGATGGTCTCGATCTCTTGACCTCGTGATCCACCTGCCTCGGCCTCCCAAAGTGCTGGGATTACAGGCTTGAGCCACCGCGCCTGGCCCCAAACAATTTCTAAGAAATAAAACAATGGTGTTCCTGCTGTACTTCTTCCTCCCTTTATTAGGTTTATCATTCCCACAGATTTCTTTATCCCCCGCCCCCCCCCCCACACCCACACGTCACTAATCAATACAATGTTTTTTTCCTCTCTGCCCATGTGGAAAACAAGTTGTCCCTGCCCCACCTCTTGATTTCTGCCTGCTCTATGAAGCCACCTATATCATGAATCCAAGAGTTATGGGCGGATGTGTTCTGTGGGTCTGTTTATCCTCCTCTGCATAGATACCACCTGTCTCAATGACTAAAGCTTCAAAAAGGTCTGATACCTGGTTGGCTGGTTTCCCACTTTGATCTGCCTGCAAACTGCAGTGCATTTAATCTCTGCATCCTGGCTCATGATGGTACTTAATGAACTTTTGTTGAATAGGTAATTTTCCCCCCTTAGTATGTTATTTTCAGAATCTTTTGGGGGCTTTAGCACTTAATTTCTTTTCAGATAATTGTATATGTCAAAATCAAACTTCAGAATAAGAATTTACTGATCAGAACACCATTTAGTACTTTATATGGTAGGAAGGAGTAAAACCGCTGGCTAAAGTAAAAAATTTTTGTGGTTGGGCACAATGGCTCATGCCTATGATCTTAGCACATTGGGAGACTGAGGCAGGAGGATTGCTCAAAGCCATGAGTTCAAGACCAACCTGGCCAACATAGTGAGACCCCTGTTTCTAAAAAATAAAGTTTAAAAAATATAAAAATTAGCCAGGCATGGTGGTGTGTGCCTGTAGTCCCAGCTACTTGAGAGGCTGAAGCAGGAGGATCCCCTTGAGCCCAGGAGTTTGAGGGTGCAGTGAACTCTGATCCTACCACTGCACTACAGCCTGGGCAACAGAATGAGACCTTGTCTCTGCAAAAAAGCAGAAACAGAAACTTTTTTTTTGTAGTGTATTTTCAGTATGTTGTCAGGGAAACTTACTGAGGAGAGCTATTTACCATTGACAGTATTTGCTTTGAAGTGTGGCTACAAACTAATGAGGCTTTCTTTCTTAAGCCTCATTATTGTAGTTTTTGTTCATATAGCCATGGTTGAATGTGCAAAGCAGTAACACTTGCTAGATGTACTAATTAGTATTTCACATTGATTGAAATTTAGAAATTGAATGCTTATACTTTATGTCAGTCAGTGGTTTCCTTTTCTTTGCTTTCACTTTGAAATATTCCTGTAAAGATTTTTCTTTTGGACTGTAACTTAATTGGATGGCCCTAGTCAGCCTTTGAAGCAATGCTTAGGTTTATAATGGCTGGCAAACACTTTACCAGGAAGGAAGGGAAGAAAGACTATGTGTTGTTACTTATACAAGTCAGTGGAGGATTAACCCATTTTACTACTTTTTATTCTTGAATCTTTTTATAGTTAGATAAATATGACTTAAATGCCTTTGTCTAGAGTCTTTGGAGGACTTTTTTTTAACCTTGTAATTTCAGTTAACATACATGCTTATATTTGACTTTATTTTCAAGGAATGTTTTAAAATGTAAGATTGGTCACAGTTATTGAAGAGAATGAGTGTGGCAGTAGTTCTATGATATATTAATATACAACTAAGGATAATCCTTCTGGAAGATTACTCCATTGAGGTATAGATGCTGGGGGAAAAAAGTAGTAGCACTGACTCCCTTCAGGTTTAAAAAAAGTTACTGTCATCAACCGGGCTCGGTGGCTCACGCCTGTAATCCCAAGTGCTTGGGAGGCTGAGGCAGGAGAATCACTTGAACCTAGGAGGCGGAGGTTGCAGCAGTGACCCAAGATCGCAGCATTGCACTCCAGCCTGAACAACAAGAGCGAAACTCTGTCTCAAAAAAAAAAAAAAAAAAAAAGAGGTCAGGCGGGGTGACTCATACCTGTAATCCCAGCACTTTGGGAGGCTGAGGCAGGCAGATCACCTGAGGTCAGGAGTTCAAGACCAGCCTGACCAACATGGTGAAACCCCGTCTTTACTAAAAATACAAAAATTAACCAGGTGTGGTGGTGGGGACTTGTAATTACAGCTACTTGGGAGGCTGAGGCAGGAGAATCGCTTGAACCTAGGAGATGGAGGTTGCAGTGAGCCAAGATTGTGCCACTTCACTCCAGCCTGGGTGACAGAGATTCCATCTCAAAAAAAAAAAAAAAAAAAAAATTACTGTGATCACAAAACCAGTTTCACATAACAGCCATTTTAAAGTGAAAAGTTCATTGGTATTTTGCAATCACTATTTCATATCTACTTTCTGAATACGTTCATCCTCCCCAAATAAAACTCTGTACCTGTTATGCAGTTGCTGCTCATTTTCCCCTTTCCCCAGTTCCTGGTAACCACCAATCAGGTTTCTGTTTCTCTGGATTTGCTTATCCTGTGTATTTCATATACATGGAATCAGAATATGTGGCCTTTTGTGCCTGGCTTCCTTCACTTAGCATGTTTTCAGGGTTCATCCATGTTGTAGCATCTATCAGTAACTCATTCATTTATTTATTTTATTTGACAGTAACTCATTTTTTAAATGGCTGAATAATATTCCATTGTATGTATAGGTCACATTTTGTTTATCCATTTATTGTTATTGGATATTTGAGTTGTTTTTACCTTTTAACTATTGTAAATAATGCTGCTATAACGTTTGTATGGAAGTATCTGTTCGAGTATCTGTTTTTAGTTCTTTTTGGCTATGTACTTAGCAGTAGAGTTTCTAGATCTAATGGTAATTTTATGTTTAACTTATTGAGAAACAACCAAACTGTTTTCCACAGCTGAATGAACCATTTTACATTCCTGTCAGCATTGTCCAAGAGTTCCAGTTTCTTTACATCCTTGCCAGCGCTTCTTGTGCTCTGTTTGGTTGATTGAAATATAGTTACTCTAGTGATTGTCAAGTAGTATCTCATTTTGGTTTTGCTTTGCATTTCCCTAATGACTGATGATGTGGAGCATCTTTTCATGTGCTTGTTAGCCATTTGTAGATCTTCTCTGTAGAAATGTTGTTTATCTTTTTGTTGTTTTAGGTACTGGACAGATATTAAATACATAATTTGCAGATACTTTCTCCTATTCTGTAGGTTGTCTTTTCACATTCCTGATTATGTCCTTTGTTACACAGAAGTTTTTAATTTTAGTAAAGTCCATTTTATCGTGTTTACTGTTTTATTGCTCATGCTTCATATCTAAGAATTGGGCATATCTTCCCAAATTCAAGATCATGACAGTTTACCCCTATGTTTTCTTCTAAATGTGCTATAGTTTTAGCTCTTACATTTAGAGGTTGTTGGTCCATTTTGATTTTGTATGTAGTATGAGATAGTCCAATGAGAGGATTTTTTTTTTTTTTTTTTTGAGTTGGGGTTCTCACTCTGTGGCCTAGGCTGGAATGCAGTGGCTTGATTATAGCTCACTGCAGTCTCAAACTCCTGGGCTCAAGCAGTCCTCTCTGTAACTGAGACCACAGAAGTGCACTGGTAAGCCTTGCTTATATATATATATATATATATATATATATATATATATATATATGTGTGTGTGTGTGTGTGTGTGTGTGTGTGTGTGTGTGTGTATTTTTTTTTTTTTTGGTAGAGACAAGATCTTGTTATGTTGCCCAGGCTGGTCTTGACCTCTGGGGCTCAGGTAGTCCTCCTGCCTTGGTCTACCAAAGTGCTGGGATTATAGGTGTAAGCCACCACACCTGGATCTTGTAGTGTTTTTGAACTGAGTATATATACATACCAACCAAAAACTATTGTGGATTTCATAGTATTTTAAATTATTTTGCATTGTATTAATCTAAGAAGAGCTTGTAAATATATTTGAAAAATAGTACTTGTAAGTTTAAGACAATTTTTAAGTCCATGACCTATATATTAGTGACTGAATATGAATTCATGGATTTCCTTCCCATAACACCATGATCTTCTCTGAATCTACAGATCACAGATTTTGTAGATGAGCATCAGAAGAATCTCTGATGACAGGTAAAACAGGGACTGAGGATGAAGGTAGAGTTTCCAAGGGTCCGTAGCTGCAGAGACCTCAAGAAAGAGGCTGGGAAGTCAGTAACTAGAAGGCAGTGGTGAAATCTATTAGAGCAAGAAAGGAAGTGGCATTTCATTTGAGATAAGGATGATTGCAGAGTTTGGTTTGGAGGCTCATGGGTCATCATCAGAAAGTAAAGGTTTAGGAAGCAGTTGAAGATTCTTTTAGTTTTGGATATAATGCCAACTCAACTCAGCCTTCAAACAGGGCGTCCAACTGACTGTGTTTAGCATCTTTCCTACAGAGAGGGGTAAGTAAGGAAAAGGAACTAGGCAAGTTCTAGATTTTTTATGGTGGCAATCATGGCCAAGGGCCTTTTGTCTTCTGGCCAGCTTTTTCAGTGCTGACAGGCTCATCAGTGACAGTCGTCGTCGTCTTTTTTTTTTTTTTTTTTTTTTTTAAGTCTTTTTGTCACCTTGTCAGGTCTGTGTGCAAAGGGCTCTAGCAAAAGGAAGAAGGAGGGGACAGATAGGGCAGGAGACTGAGCATCTGAGGGGAGTGTAGAGATAATGGTCTTCAGATGCCCTTTTGCTTTTACTGGCTGATTGTCTGCTTTTTCAGATAGAAATGAAAGCCACTTTACAAGAAATGATTTGGGAAGGCATAAACAAAGAGGGGATTTTGATTACTTTGATGTTTGTGGTGTTTAAACTGAATTTGTGTGGATATGTCTTTTTGAATTTTTAACCCACCACGAAACCTCTGTGATTTAACAGGTGCTACTCGTGAGCAGTAGTCGCCATCCAGACAGATGGATTGTCCCTGGAGGAGGCATGGAACCCGAGGAGGAGCCAAGTGTGGCAGCAGTTCGTGAAGTCTGTGAGGAGGTATGCACGGAGAAGAGACGGCACAGCTGTGCCTCGTAATCATGAACCCATCCTATCTGTGTAGCTCTTTAATATATCAGCACTCACTGAGTAAACATACAATCACAGAAAAAGGGCAGTGAGTGGTTACCCGGTGCCTTCTTTATTACCAGGTGACGGAGTTGTGACATGGTAATATTAACCAGGCATTCTATGCCAAACCGTTTTTTGTGACTTCCCATGGATTTCTTCCAACACCGCCTGTTACCTGTGGCACAGAATCAAAAAGCAAATAGTTCCTTACCTCTAAGGAATAAGAGGAACAGGCAGCATTAGTATAAATGACTCATTGTCATTAAGTTTTGGAGGAGGTGCTTCCTGTATCCTGGCCATGGAACTGTGGCTAAAGAAATGATTCTGTTAGCCAGATACTGTTAATGGCACAACTTGAGAGATAATAGTGTCTTCTTTTTTATTTAGTCACATGATGTTCCACATATGTGTGTTGAGTTCCTGGGCCATGTTATGCTACTGGATACTCCAGAATAAATAGAAGAAGTAAAGTCATGGACCCTTAGTTCTCTTATTTCAAGAATTTACAGTCTGGGGGAAACTGAGAAACAGATTGCAACTGAAAACCCAGAGAAATGAACGAATGTTTTTCCATAGCCTCTTCTGGTGATACCTTGCTCTGCTCTGCTTATCTCATTTAGGACTCGTAACTTGGTTGTATAAGCTTTATTGCCCCAGTTTACTCACCCTGGCCACATAGGTAGTGCTTTTGAAATCCATTTCCTTGTTCTAGAGGGAATTTAAGATTGATTCTAAGAACATACAGAAAAGCACTTACAGAAAAAACAAGTCTAATTCCTATGTTTCTTTTGGATTCAGCTTTTGGTGAAGGGCTCCTTAGAATAATCTTGGAATATCCAAGGAATTCTTTCCTTGCTCTGAATTTCTACATTTACATTGGCTTATTTCACTCTCATTGTAGCATCTGTCTTCTACCCATAACTAGATTATTCCCTCTGAGGGCAAAAATCATGTTTCCCGTCAAAAACTTTTCCCCCTACTTTTCTTGCCTAGTACACAGCTAGGTGAACAGAAAGTAATTAATACATGCTTCTTTGATAGATGGAACAGTGGTTGGAACAATGCAGATGCTGAAGAAGTCCCCTAGATGGAAATGATGAGAGTATAGAAAGTGATAAACATTGAGAAGAGGATGTGAGAAGGCATTCTTACAGTGTGGGTGGTGAGGAGGCTAACCTGGGTAGAACCAAATGGAGTCAAGAGGGGGTATAGTGAAAACAACTTGATTTGGGAACCCTGGTTTCTATTAGTGTCAGTTCATAGCTGTGTGACCTGTGAGAAAATAACCTTTAAACACCCTAGACCTTTGTCCTTCCTTTGATTGATCTTCCTGTTTACTCCATCATGGAGGGAGTGGAGGGGAATGTGAGGTTCAAATGAGAACATGAGTGTGAATGTCCTTTGTGAATTATGTATCACGCTACCAGTTAGGATGTGTGCAGCTGAAAATAATATTATGCCCGTTACTGTTCGGGAACAGGTTTATGATATCACATAACAAGAAGTCCCAGGTTGGCTGACTCAGCAGTATTTAGAGCCCAGGTGCTTCCTGTCTTTCTATTCTGCCATCCTTGGTACATTTTGCCCTATAACGGCAGAGTTAAGTAATTGTGAAAGAGACTGTATGGCCTGTATAATAAATTTTTTCTCACTCTGAAATTATATATTATCTATCTGTTCTTTTTTAGACTAAACATATATTGGCACATTCCAATATAAGTTAAATTTCTAACGAACATTTAATCTTCTCTTATTGGCCATGCTTTTCAGTTACTTTTAATTAAAGTCTAAGAGGTTTCTCAAAGTCATATCTTAGATGGTGAAGGCTCTAGTAGTTTAAACATAGGAGCTGACATTCCCTTTGCCAGCAAATTTAAGCATAGCATATTTACGTCGAACCATAGCCTCTTGTGACAGCATGCTCTGCTTTGGTTGTTATCTCATTTAGGACTCATAGCTCAGTTGTATAAGCTTTATTGCCCCAGTTTACTTGCATATGCTTAAGTTGAACAATAGCCTCTTGTGGTGACACCATGCTCTGATGGGAAACGTAATTTTTGCCTTCAGAGAGAATAATCAAGTTATGGGTGTAAGACAGATACTACAATGAGAGTGACATAAGCCAATGTAAGTGTAGGAATTCAGAAATGAGGAAAGAATTCCTTGGATATTCCAAGGGTAAGATTATTCTAAATATAAGTTTAAGCGTAAGCAATGTATAGGGTACATTTACTTTTGTTTGCGGGCTTGTCTCCTTGTGGTGACAAGATGGCTATCACAGCTCTATCCTTACACATTCTTTTCAAATGCAGGACACACAGTTTTACCTCCTGGGTCTCTCTTTATTTGAGAGAAAAGAAACCCTCCCCAGAAGGTCCCCCAGCAGACTCTTTATGTCAGTGTTCCAGAGTTGTTTTGCATGCTTATGATTAAACTTCCTGGCAAAGGGAATGTCAGTTCCATGTTTAAACTACTAGAGCCTTCACCATCTAGGATTTGACTTTGAGAAACCTCTTAGACTTTAATTTAAAGCAATTGAAAAGCATGGCCAATAAGAGAAGATATAATGTTTATTTTGTTAGAAATTTAACTTACAACGCCGGGCGCGGTGGCTCAAGCCTCTAATCCCAGCACTTTGGGAGGCCGAGGCGGGTGGATCACGAGGTCAAGAGATCGAGACCATCCTGGTCAACATGGTGAAACCCCGTCTCTACTAAAAATACAAAAAATTAGCTGGGCATGGTGGCGCGTGCCTGTAATCCCAGCTACTCAGGAGGCTGAGGCAGGAGAATTTCCTGAACCCAGGAGACGGAGGTTGCGGTGAGCCGAGATCGCGCCATTGCACTCCAGCCTGGGTAACAAGAGCGAAACTCCATCTCAAAAAAAAAAAAAAAGAAATTTAACTTACATTGGAAAGTGTTAATATATGTTTACTCTAAAAAACAATTGATTGATAATATATAATTTTAGAATGAGAAAAACTTATTATACAGGCCATACAGTCTCTGTCACAACTACTTAACTCTACCATTGTAGGGCAAAAGTAGCCATAAACGGTACAACACATAAAAAAATGGGCCTAACTGTGTTCCAGTGAAGCCTTATCTATGAGAACTGTGGTGAACCATAGGTAATCCCTTGTTTAAGCTCTTGCTAGTCACAGTGTGGTTGGTGGATCAGCAACATCAGCATCAGCCAGGCTTGTTAGAAATGGAAAATCTCTGACCCCAACCCAGATGTACTGTGTCAGAATCTGATTCTAACAGGGCCTCGGGTGATTTTGAGAGCTTACTGCATTAGAGTATTGAATTCTTACCAATGAGTGTTCTGAGAATTCCTCCTGATGGAGCTGTGGAGAGAAATGCTCTTTGAGGGTTAGACTGTGGTTTGGTGGTCTCCACACCGCTTCCAATACTCTTCTCACATGGAGAGACTGGAAAGCTAAAAAGTACTTTTCCTATACTCATATAAAGAATGCAACTAAGTCTCCTTGATGATACTTAGGTATCCCCAATACAAAGCACTTATACAAGATTGCTTTAGTCACAAGGAGGGCATGTTCTGAGAGCAGCAGGCCCATCTGTTTTGGTGGCACCCGTTTAGACAAAGGAGATACGGCTTTGGCATTGGCAGTTATAATGTCAACTTCCTGATTTGGCTGGTGGCTTTTATTTGGCAGCTTCCTGATCCATCCCAGAAGCAGCAACTAACTCCCTTGGCAGTCCAGTTCTGCAATGTGGTTTCGAGAATTGTTCTTGGAACCTTGGCCTGTGTTTCTTGAGTTCTCCTAGTGATTCTGTAAACTGTTTGTATCCCTTAATAAATCACTCTCTTAAACTAATCAGGTTGGATTCTGTTGTCTGCAATTAAGAACCTTGACCCATCAGATTCCCTGTGAATGATAACAGTTGCTTTAGTTGTATCTGACATTCTTCTCTGCTTGGCTGGGCTAACCCATCAAGGATTGAGATGTCTTTGCAAAGCATCCCCCTCTAGGGAAGAGTGTCCAGTGGCCCGTGAGAGAGCTGTCTGATCTACAGTGGGTCAGTAATTTAATCAGGCAGACCTGTTTCTGTGGGAAAGTGAAGCTGTGGCAGAATCCAGTTCAGAATCTATACCTTCCTCATAGCTGTTTACTGATTTAATGTTATCTGTTCATTCAACAAATACTGAGCACCCATCTATCTTGTGCAAAGCACTGGACCATAAGTTGAGGATACAGAAATTTGGGTTTTTCCATCATCACATGAGCTTAACGTCTCACTGAGAATACAGAGTTAATAGGAAACTATTATTTGAAAATTGAACTTTGAGGGAACAGTTTGTACAGCATGCCAGGGGACTTGTTGGCAGAGTAGCCAGCCAACTCTGGCACGAAGATTGGCTCCTAGGAGAATGTCTGGATGGTTACAGACCTGCTCATTTAAGATTTTGCCATTTTGGAGGGACTTTGGGGATGCCATAGGTAGTGTAATCGTGGTCTTATATATGATATCCCCACATAAGGGAGATTAGATAGAGGAGGGATGAAGTAGCTGGTGAGCTTTTCTTTACTCTGAAGCAGAATTGGATTCCTACTTTACTGTTGGACCTGTGTTAATGGGGAATTAGAAGGATATAGACACGTTCTGAAGGGCAGGTAGGATTTTGTACTTTGCATCCCTAGGCCTGAGAGCACCAGAACCTTTGCCTGGCTCTTTCTGTAGGAACTCAGAGTTTGACTGTTCAAATAAGTGTGGTAGGGCCAGTTGGTGGACCTAAACTGAATAATTCTGATTTAAATCCAGTTGGCCTCTGTAGCTTCTAAGGTGCTTAAGGCAAAAATGGTGTTTGAGAGTGACCATGAAGTTGTGGATTCAGACAGATTGTAACAAGACCTGAAACTGAGTGATGATTCTAGAGTAGAGAGAGAGGAAAAGTTCAAAGGC